GGGGGGGGGGGGGGGGGGGGGGGGGTTGTACATGGGTTTTAAAGGGGGTTGAAAGAGGTTTCGACTTCCAAGGGGTATGTTTTGGTTAAGACCTTTTCTTTTTTTTTCTTCCGAATATACAAAGAATTCTGAACTGACCCTCAGCAAAAAGTCGGTTGCATAGCAGTTCTAGACAAATTTTTTTTTTGCAGAATATTTTTATTTTTGGGTCCTCACCGAAGAATATAATGCTCAGGAATTATAAAGGAATTCGACGCCCACCAGGCATTATATTCGTATACAACGCCCAGGCATTTGTTCCAGATGAAGACGGCAGCAGCATTGAATTTCCTGTAGGGCTGTGCAGTAAAGGAACCTCGACACAATTTTTGACACATCTCCACAAACACATCCAGATTCAGGCATGGAGGAAACTCGACGCTGTTGATGAGACCCGGCCCCTGCAGGCTCCGGGAATACATAAATTTAAAACATTTCCATTACACGATCAATGCAGTCACCATGATGTTGCGTTGTGTTCAGGAGAAGTAAAAAGGTGTAGGCAGTTCAGAATGTGATGCAGGCTTTGGAACCAGCAAAACACTCTTTTATGATTTTATCAGACCAACAGTCACATCGCCAAAAATCAACCAAATATTACCACCCCTGCGCACCCCTCCCGTCTCTCTCTCTCTTGTGCGTGTGTGTTGTTTTAAAGGACCCCAGATTCTCCCATCTCTCTCTCCATACATTCAACTGTCTCATCCTGACTTTCCCCTTTGCCCAGTTGTGTCTGATCTCAACCCATCCTCCCCTCTTCCCATGAAGGTTCTCAGCAAAAACCAACCACATATTACCACCCCTGTGCACACCCCTCCTCTCTCTCTCTCTCTCTCTCTCAATATCTTGTGTGTGTGTTGTTTTAAAGGACCCCAGATTCTCCCATCTCTCTATCCATACATTGAACTGTCTCCTCCTGACTTTCCCCTTTGCCCACTTGTGCCCAATCCCAACCCACCCTCCCCTCTTCCCATAAGGTTCTCCCCATATCATCCCATCCTGCTGAAGTGCTCTCTCTCTCCCTCTCTCTCTCTCTCTCTCTCACACACACACACACACACACACACACACACACACACACACACACGCTTGATCCCGCTCACACAGACAAACAAAAACTGAATTGAGCATCGGCGAAATCCTACCTGTCTCATCACCGGATCAGTCAAGATTTGCTGAATCTCTGGGTCGGACATTGCTTTCGCCTGTTCACATTCGCAAGCCGAGAGCCATACAGGACGAAAAAACGTGAGTGAATCATCTCCATACGAATGTTCTTCAAGAATTCCGCAAGAGACTTCAAAAAACAAATGCGGCAGGGAGACACTCCAAGCATTCGCCATATCAAGGCTCTTGGCTTGCGAATGTTTGGAGCGTCTCCCCGCAGACCCAACTTTTTGAAAAAAACGCAGGGAACACTCGAATATTCGAGCACCAATGTCTCCGGAGAGGGAGGCAGAGGTCCGCTCATTTTCGGTTTCCGCCCCAAACATATGAACCAATGTGTAAAGTGAAAGCAGATAAACAACAATCTGCCACGCTCTCTCATATGGCAGACTACGTAGTGAATCATCTCCATACGAATGCTCTCCTTCAAGGATTCCGCAAGAGACTACAGAACATCTGACAATTCAGTATCGTCATATGGCAGTCTACGTAGCCATGTCATGGCCAACACAACTGGGACATGCTCAAAAGAACCCGCTGCAACACACGCAGAGACGCAACATAGCCGGCCATGTTCCTGTCGTTTTTATCAGCCTGCTCAGCCTCGATGACACGTCTCATGAGGATCCCACACGTCATTAACAAAAGTGCATGGGTGCCATAGAGGGCCACATTGCTCAAGTCAACAAGGACAGCAGGGTTGCGCATAAAGCTGGTATACTGCTTCGTTTTGGGGGTCCATAATTTGGCCCATTTCTATTAAACCACTAGTACCCCCGAGCCTGTTTTTGCCAACCCTGAATTTCACTGCGCTCCGGTACCACTCCGTTTTCTTTCTGGTACTCTCACGGAAAGAACAACAAAAGAAGAAGAAGAAGAAGAAAAGTTGCGGCCGTGAACTCAGAAAAGGAGAAAACAGGAAAAAAAAAACGAAACAAAGCTTTGGCCATGATAATCGGCTGATTGCAGCTGTATACATTCTTGGAAGTGGTAGTGTGAGTGTGCCCTCAGTGAGGGCATCTCAGCCCCGTGTGATGAGCGTTACAATGCTCTGACAAAACACAGCTTGAGCAGATCACGGACGGATTGAGCAATTCACGGATTCCCCCCTGCCTCATTGGCAGGGGGCTTATAAGAAACGCGAGAAAAAAGTCACATCCAGAATGTGACCGCCTTACCGGTGAGGTGCATTCTGTGGAGGAAGACTCTGAGCACGGCCTCCAAGACTACCCTGCCCGACATTATTGCAGTCGAGATAGCATTTTCTTCTTTTCCTTCTTCACTTGCGGCAGTACAAAAATCTCAATGCCCGACATCATTGCAGTAGAGATAGCATTTTCTTTTTTTCCTTTTTCTTTCACTCGCGGGAAATATAAAAATCTGATTTACGAGACAGTGCCGACCCTGTGTCCCACCCCCGATAACTTCGGGAACTGGCCAAACATCGTAATTTCCCAACACTGGCGGAAGTACTAGTGGTTTAAAATTTAAAATAATAAAATAATAATATTAATAATAATAATAATAATAATAATAATTTCGATCATTTCTCGATTTATGTGTGTCATGTGCAAGGGCCATGCTAATCTTCTTTCTCTGTAGATTTCAAATTTTATCCAATAATGTCCCGAAAGGCAAACTCCGCATACTTCTTAACATGATAGACAACGCTTTTGTCCTGCCGTTGCGTCTTCCGCCGAATTTAATGAACAGATATTATATGCAACTGTATTTGACACAAGTTTGAGTCCATATACAGATCTTTAAATACTGCATGACCTAACCAACCTACTGCAATTCCATCTCCATTATCCATAGGACCAGCACGAAATAGCCCACCTTTAGCAGGATTATTGCCAATATAATCATAAAAGGCCAATTTTTCTGGTATTCGCGACCAAGCTTCTGAAATACTAAGACCTTGAGATGTACTTAATCGTACGCGTCTATCGATTTCTTGTGCTATTTGGGTGAAGACTGTGGGGGCCAAATTGGCAATGGAGCTCAGCTGTTAGATGCGATTTCCTAACATTGCAATGTGCGAAGCGTTTGGTTTGCATCTGATCTATCGCCAGATGAGATAAATCGCACAAAAATTGCACATTTTCGACTCATTTTCGATTGATTTCAACAACTGGCCTCTACACTGTCGCACAAAAGTTCACAAAATTCCTCTGCCTGAGGATACAACCAAAAAACATTGGAATGCCAAACCCATTTTTGAGATTTACACCAAAGGCGTTTTCTGATTTCAGCATAGAGCTTCGCAATTTCTGTCGGACAAGTAAAACATGGTTTACATTTGAAAAACGGCAGCAGCCACCCCCATCATGGAGAGACCATTGAGTTCGCAGACAGTCAAAGTCACATGTTTCAGAAAATTGGCACAAAAACACAAAAAAATCATCCTCTCCTCTTCCTGATAGTTCCTATGTTACCAGGGTGGCCCGGGACCACTTGCCCGGCCGGTCGTGGAGGCCTCCATGCAGGTCGTGGAGGCCTCCCATCCCCAACCGGGTCCGGTAGGCCCGCCAGATAATTGAAAAACTGGCAGCCTATCTGGGCCGTCGATCTGGTGAGATCTGCGGCCCAGATAGGCCGCCCTTTTTTGAACATTTGAGCAGGAAACCACCCGAGAGTTCTGGGCGGCGATCCAAACCTTCCCCAGGCACAGCCCCCACCACCCCGCCTCCCGCCTCCCACCTCCAGCTGCTTTCGAGCTGAAGGACTCGTCACTTCAACACTTCGTCGAAAGTGAACAAGACCGAGACTGCGTCGGCCCCACCCACGTCCGCCCCGGCCTCGGATCGCGATCGCCCTGGCCCGCCGTCTATCGGTAAAGGTAAGTCTTCCTTTGTCGTTCTTTGTTTCTTCTTCTTCTTCATACTATCTTCTACTTCTTCTTCTTCTTCTTCTGGCAAAGCCGACATCCGAAGTTTGTGAAGTGAGAGAGAGAGAGCGCGAAGTACTGGGCGCGCGCGGGGGATAGCGGGCGCGCGCGGGGATAGCGGGCGCACGCATGCACAGAGAGAGAGAGAGAGAGAGAGCACAGTACTGGGCGCGCGCGGAGGGTAGGGGGTGAGTGGGTGATGATATGGACAGTGGATGATGATGATGATGATGATGGAGGATGACATCATGATGATGGTGACAACAGTGACAACAATGACGACGACGCCAACTAAGGATGACATGACAACAATGACGACGACGCCAACTAAGGATGACATCATGATGATGGTGACGACGACGACGCCAACTAAGGATGACATCATGATGATGGTGACGGCGACGACCGCGACGACGGCGATGATGATGATGATGATGATGACGACGGCGATGATGATGATAATGGTGATGATGATGATGATGATGATGATGATGATGGCGATAATGATGATGATGATGATGATGATGATGATGACGATAATGATGATGATGATGATGGCGATGACGATGATGGTCAGGGTGAGGAGGAGGAGGACACCCCTCAAATGCAGCCCACCCTCAACCCATGAATTTCCACCCCCCACCCCCCCCCACCAACCTCATGAATTTTTTTTTTGCAGATCAATAATTTCTCTGCAGATTCGGGGAGATCTCAACAAGCGCAGTCCAACCCCATCATCAAAAAATAAAATAAAATAAATTGACCCGGTTTTGGGCCCAGCCGGAATTCCGGCTGGACCCCCAAGGTTCCAACAGGCCCGGTTGGGCCCAGTGCGGTCCAACCGGCCGGTGGCCGGTGCAGCCCTGCTTTAGGGATAATTTGCAAAATATCCCCCACAAATGCCCCTGAAACATGTGGGTACAGCGAAGTGCCCTTTTGGGCCGACATATTTGTGTTGTGCCGATGTCAGGCAGGTGTGCAAATTTGCAATCTGGACCTCCCCGTTTGGGCCTTGGCCTTTTAAACTAGCGCCTAGGAGAAATCACCGAGTAGTGGGGCATTTGGTAAAGTTGGACGGTACCTAGTAGGGGTATATTGCAAAGATGGAGGTCCAACCGACGCCAGGGGTATTTCACAAAATAGTTTTTCTGTCAGAGGGGCATTCCGCTCTACATGCATCTTTTACGGGGAATTTGGCATATATCTCAACTTCTGGGGCTATTTTGCAAATTATCCCTTTATTTTTTATATTCAATTTGGTTAAGATTTTGGATGTGACCCTGGGCCAAAAGTTGTTCAGTTTATTTTTCTGCATACTACAGTGATTTTTTGGATTTTTTGGATTTTTTGGATTTTTTGGATTTTTTGCTGGGGCCCCGCCTGGTCCTCGCATGGCCAGGCCGCCCGGGCAAACAAGGTGACCCCGGCAGCCTGGCTGGTAGCCTGGCTTTTCATTTTAAATTTTATTTATTTATTCACAAAGAATTTCGGTCGCACCCTGAGGCAAAAGTTGTTCAGTTTATTTTTCTGCACAACATTATTTTTTATTTCACAAAGARTTTCGGTCCAACCCTAAAATTCTTTTTCCTTTTTTCTTTTAACCGGGACCTTGCCTGGTCCTTGCCCGGCCATGCAGCCCGGGCAAACAAGGTGCCCCCGAGGGCCCGGTTTATAACACAGTCTCCTTCATCGCCAACGCACCTGTCTCTCCTTCATTTCCTCCGGAGTAACCTCCCCGCGATTTGTCTGGTTGATTTTGTCGACACACCTGAGCCAAGCCGTGACAGACAGAACAAGCAGGCAAGTTATGGTTAGATATGCAGAGCAGACACATTGCCAGTATCGAGTTTTTGCTCGACTAGCTAAAAAAGATTGCAAAAAAGTGGAATAAACGCAACAACCAGGCGCGAAGCAAAGATAACTTTCTTTTTGACAAACAAAGCCGCCTATTGGAGCTGAAGCCAGATCTAATTTCAAGCGGTTTTTTGCACAGAAACTATATTCCATAACAAAATCATCTATTGCATGCTTTGTCAAAGTGCTCAATTGCTCGACACTTCTGTTTTTGGGGTTTAGGGTTTCCCATCATTGCCCATCAAGATACATCACATACCCAACCTCACTTCACTACTCCACCTTTGACATGTACCTGGACAGGATATGGACCATAAGTTGTCACACAACTATGAGCTAAAAGAGCACACTTGGCAAAACAAACGATAAATATAAATAAAAAAAAACAAGACAAAGATGAAGACAGGCACACTGAAACCATTTCAGTTTTCTCCTTCTCTTAAACCACTACCGTCTTCCCCCAAACATAACGCACCCTAAAAATGAATGTATACAAGCTATATTTCAGGCCAGATGCAGCCAACGTAAGGGTGCATTGTGTTCGGGGGAAGACGGTAGTGCATCCGAACGAGCAGATTGAGCCTCTCCTCAAAAGTTTGGAGGCCATGGACCGTTGATAAAATGGAGCGGCGGTTCATAGCCTCCTGTTTTTCAGGTGAGGGTCAATCTGCTTTTGCGGATGTACTGGTGGTTTAACCCCCCCCCCCCCTTCACCATGCCTCAAATACGACAAAAGGCTCGCCACGTTGACGAAGTTGCGAGGACCCCCGTGTGCCATAACGGCCCACTTGTATGCTGTGAGAAAGAGGCAGAGTAAATGGGAAGATGATAAACACAGGTAAGAGAGATGAAGAGAATACGAACACAGAGTGTGGAATGAATACAACCGCGAAGGAGAGGATAAGGAAAGGCTCAAGAACAAGTCTGTCCTTGACGACAGAGAGGACACACATCCTCAGGATGAAGTGGATGAACACATGGAAGACCTAGCTGCGCATTATCAGTACAACAATCGCCGCGACGGCTGGCACTGACGAATGGCATGTCAATTCCAGGCACCACACAAAAACACATGCATTCAGTATGGCACCCATGGCTGAAAAACATGCATTCAGTATGGCACCCGTGGCTGAAAAATGCTTCGTTCAATTCGACGCCTGCAGATGCGTGTCGAATGTGTTCTGGACGTGGAGCAAGCGCCATTGTCACTTACGCATCAACTAGAAGACCGCACGTTTCAAAACACCCAAAGAGAAAAGCATAGAACACAAAAGCACACAAGCCGTTCTTTTCAAATCCTTCTTTGCCTTTTCCTGTGAAGTACTTCTTCATTCCTTGTTCCGAGTTTCTTCGCAGTTTTTCTTTGATCTCGTCTTCTTCCTTCTTCCTGTTGTTTGCTTATTGCCGCTTTACCCCTGTGTGCTCCCCAGCCGATAACCAGCTTTCCTATTTACGGGAGTGATGAACCTTGTGTCACTGCTATGCCTAGTTTCTATGCCGGGCCATTCCACCTGCTGCTCATACCCACTTTTTTGCCTGAAGCATTTTTGACTTGTTCCCAATTTTTTGGTCAAAGCATTGTCGACTTGTTCCCAATTTTTTGGTCAAATCATTGTTGACTTGTTGACCTGTGTGGCAAGAACTTCGCCCGCTTTTTTGGCAAGAAGCATTGACTTGTTCCCGCTTTTTGGTCAAAGCGGCTGGCCTCACGTTACTTCCATCGATAGGATGACCAAAATTGAATGAATCTTCCGCTAGGACAGTGAAACATGCGCTGGGTCTACTACACATCTGTGTGCGTGCGTGTGTGTGTGTGTGTGTGTGTGTGTGCGCGCGAGCGAGTGAGAGAGAGAGAGAGAGAGAGAGGGAGGGTACTTCCATCGATAGGATGAGCAAAATCTAACGAATCTACCGCTACAAAGGAAATATACACTGTGTGTGTGTGAGAGAGAGGGTAGTTTCATCAATAGGATGAGCAAAATCAAATCAATCTACCACTAGAACATGGAAATGTATATATATAGATATAGATATAGATATATATTGTGTGTGACAGAGAGACATAGGGTACTTCCATCGGTAGGATGAGCAACATCGAATGAATTTTTTTTTATTTCTTTTGTGCGTCTGTGTGTGAAAACTTTACAACTGCCGGGGCATTTTGCGAAGTTGGCCATCCGGTACGGGTACATTGAAAAGATGGGATCCAACTGATGGCTGGGGTGTTTCGCAAAATGTTTTGTCATCATCCTTCGCCGCAGCCTAGCTGCGTCCACTTGTTCCGTTAAAGCATTCATTGTCGACTAGACTAGTTAACCTGTTGCAAGAAATTTTTAGGCGGTGCGAACAGCACCCAGAGTATAATTTGCATTACACATGCTACAAATTCTCCTTGACCGGCTAAGGGAGGTGGAGGCAAAAGGGTGACGAAAATAATAATAATAATAATAATCCTTTGTTTTTTCTCATCACTCCTGAAGACCAAATGATGTACATACATAATAATCCCAATAAATCTTATTAAGAGCTAATCCCAATAAATCTTATTAAGAGCTCATTGCAAACACATCAAAAATACTCAGTAAACTTTACTCCTACAAAGGGTAGACTTCCATCTGCAAATCGCACACAAATGAAGGTGCATCTTTCCATGGTCGAACATAAGATTCATTCCCATTTCGCACATTCCGTGAGAAGTGGAGCGAGGCCCAACAGTTCTCATTTGGAAAAATGGCTGAGCATTCGGCATTTCCTTCCTACACAGAAACGCAAAAGTGCCCACCCACCATCTTCACCTGCACAGAAATCCCGGTCAGAATAGCTGTATCTAGACTGAAAGATGCCCTAAATACATCAGCTATAACGGCACAGGGATTGTCAACACGACAACCAACCACCTTACCCACCAGTAATCACCAACAACAGTTTGTCAAGAAGACTCACCTCTTAATACCATCAAGCATCTCCTGATTGTTCTCACTGTACTTGAGCCCAGTCTGCCAACAACAAAAATAAAGGTTCCAGGAGTTAGGATTTCCTTGTTCTTTAGATGTTTTATACTTAATTCTCTTTTCAATCAATTTTTTTTTGTTTTTAGGTTAAGCAAAGCAGTTAGTTACCATTCTTAACACAAGCACAAAGGCCTTCAAATATACCACAAGTGTCAGGAAAGCTAGATAGCCAAGACAGAGAAACCAAATCCAAGACATTGAAACACATCGTAACCCCTTCCCATTGGACGGATGTTAAAAACTTGCTTGCCGGTGATAAGTAACCGGACTGATGCCACCCAGAATCAAAGGGGCTCGGCTGTTCATTAAAAAAAAAAAAAAAAAAAAAACCATCATAACTGGCGCATGCATGCATTTCACCGTCAGCCAACGTACAGATTTGCATCATAACTGGCGCATTCATGCATTTCACCGCCACCCAACGTACAGATTTGCATCATAACTGGCGCATGCATGCATGCATTTCACCACCAGCCAACGTACAGCTTTCCATCATAACTGGCACATGCATGCATTTCACCGCCACCCAACGTAAAGATTTGCATCATAACTGGCGCATGCATCCATTTCACCACCAGCCAATGTACACAAACAACCTCCTCCCTCCCACCCATCACGCACACCAGAGACCTTCGCCTTCCCCATCACGACTGTTCAGGAGTTGACACCACCAGTATAATAGCGTTCCAGGACATCTCTGCAAAATACCTACTCCTACAAAACGAACCCGAATGCCCATCCAGGACCTCTCAGCAGATGGACAAAAGGGGACGACATGCGCAGATGTCAAGTGGAAGACATGGGCAGCCGTAAGTGGACAACATGGATGAACAGAAGTGGAAGACGAGGATGAACGGACGGCGGTGGGAATGCACTGACCACTCACGGCGGTGGGAATGCACTGACCACTGTACATGAATGTCCGGCTACCGGATGTGGACGAAAGGAAAAGCGTAGTCCCTGTTCCCTACTTCAGCGGGATTATGCGAGTCGACTGGCCTGCACTGGTCATTTATACGACAACCAGTGGTGGCAGTGTCAAAGAGGGCAGTGTTTGACAATGCAAGCGAGTTGCTTGCTCTATAAGCTGCTGCACCCAGCGTCAAAACTTCCGCAAACGTCGTTCATTTCCCTGCCAGTTCACTGAGAGGACACACACGGCCATCATCACTGTATGGAGACTGAAAGTTCCCCAAATACAGACCATGTGTCCTATTCGCCTGAAGATGATTGATCGGACGATTCGCAAACCAATGCCCCCCTTCAGTCCATCCTCTCCATAACTACGCCTGTCACTGCAGACACCGTCTACAGCTCTGCTAAATCGAGCACTTTGGAATAAAACACGTTCAGAGATTGGGGGAATGTACGATCTCACCTACCATCTTCACCCAAATAGAACGCCAAGTCATTATAACTGTACTTGCACCAACTTCCAGTCCACATACAGCAACAATACCGGCATTCTTTTCCAGTGAAGACCACAGCCACAAATCATAGGCAACCCCTGCAACAAATGTAGAGACCAAATACCACATAGGGATCTTCTCATACTGTCACCCTAATCCCTAAACCGACCCTATACCGTCTACAGCTCTGTTATCATGATGAAGAAACCCATCCGGCTATATCGGGAAGACATTCATCCCGTTAAAATATGCCCCTTCTTTTTGCGTTTCCTTCCTCTGGTAATAATCATCATCATAATATAATAACAAATAAAGATCGAGCTCAGACAGAAAGTCACCTGTCCTTCGGGACATCCGTTAAAATTGGAACGATACAGAGAAGATTAGCATGGCCCCTGCGCTTTCAAGGATGACACGCCTAAATCCAGAAATGGTCCAATTTTCTTGAAAAAAAAAACAAAACAAAAAAAAGACAGAAAGTCACCTGGTAAGTCTCCAGAGCCTTGTCGTATTCCTTCATGAAAAACTGAACCGTCCCCTTTCGTGAATAGCCCTTAACGAATGTTGGATCCAGCTCTATGCACTTCTCTGCATCCTTCAGGCCTTCAGGGAAGGCACCCAGCTTAGTGTAGCATGCAGCCCTGTTGCTGTACACCTGCACAAAGCAAAGGACGGCAACAAAAAAGAATTAGCCATAAGGCATTGGCTATTGGCTATGAGAGCAGATAGGGGGAAACGAATGGGAATGGGAACGGTGCTATTCAATATGCCATCACAGAACGTCCCTTTTCTACCGATAGAGTCCCCAAGTCCCCGAATCAGTTACAGTAAAACATGAAATCAAGCTTGCCCCCACTGCAGCATGCCCTAAGCGCTACACACGCACAATAGTCACCCACAGTCACAAAAAGAGCACGGGCAAACTGTCTCTCTCTCTCTCTCACACACACACACACCAGAAATGTGTTCTCACAACAAAGAAACCCACACAAATATGTTCACACAACAAGAAACGCAAGTTCGTACACCCCACCCTCTCTCTCTCTCTCTCTCTCTCTCTCTCTCACACACACACACACACACACACACGAGCAAAGCCACACAAAGACAATCATGTCCTCACAGCAAAGAAACACACAAACAAACACATTCGTCTCTCTCTCTCTCTCTCTCTCTCACACACACACACACACACACACACACACAAGCAAAGCCACACAAAGACAAGCATGTCTTACAGCAAAGAAACACGCAAACAAACACATTCGTCTCTCTCTCTCTCTCTCTCTCTCCACACACGCACACACACACAGAAAAAGTTTCCACCGACAACACTCACCCTGTGGTCCTTGGGATTCCTCTTCAATGCCTCTGTGTAATGCTTTATTGCATCCGGAAACTCAGACTTCTTGAAATACTCATTCCCTGTACGTACGTAAGGCATAAGAATGACACAGACATCACCACCGTTAACCTCATATGCCGAACCACATGCACAGTTCAATACTCTTACTCGCCACAGTCGAGGGCAACAACTGACTAGCACACCCATGACAAAGGGAAACCGTGTTATGACAAAGGGATTCCTCGGTTAACGTCCGCCATCTCACTGCTTTGTGCAACTTTCAGCAAGCTGCCAGGATAGCAAGGAGTATCACCAGTATGCGTGAAGCACCTTAATCCCAAAGAACAACGCCGCCCATCCTGTCTTCACCCACCCAAATAGAACGCACAGTAATTCTAGCTGTATTTGGGACAACCTGCAGTCTATATGCAGCGATGATGACCCTGCCTTCTATTCGGGTGAATAGTCTGACCACCGTACTCGAACAATATACTCGAGTCCAATTTTTTATTACTTTAATTTCTTCTGCAAGTCCATTTGTTTTCAGGAAAAAAAGGAAAAAGTCGGTTAACCTATCACCACTACACCTTGACCTGGCAGCGCTGCACTGCACACCACGCATTGCCAAGCCCCCCCAGCAGCACAGTTTCTTTTCAACAACAAAAAAAAAAAAAAAAAAAAAAACTAAGCAATGCCCTTCACTAAATTACAGACTTCTCACTACCTGCCTACTTACCTACCATTACTCCTATAACCCCATACAAGAGACAGCACGACTAAACCCGCCGAGAAGGAATCGATCAGAAGCCAGCATATAACCCCCCAGCAAGGAATGGCAGAATCTACCAAGACCAACCGGGGGGGGAAGCCCACTATCTCAGCTGGTGCACAGCAAAATAACTGCACTTTCTATAACCCCCCGCAAGGGATGGCAGAGTCTACCAAGACCAACCAGGGGGGGGGGAGAGCCCACCATCTCAGCTGGTGCACAGCAAAATAACAGCACTTTCTTTATTGCACACATCAGGGATCGATCAGAAGCCAGCATATAACCCCCAGCAAGGCATGGCAGAGTCTACCAAGACCAACCAGGGGGGGGGGGGAAGCCCACAATCTCAGCTAGTGCACAGCACAATAATAGCACTTTCTTTATTGCACACATCACTCCTACATCTCGTACCTAAGTTCTTACAGGTGACTAACTGTAGTGAATATGGTGAAGGCATAGTCTTACCCCGTCAGTAATGGTGGAAGCCCGAGGTTCCAAGGGTTCGGTCGTTCGCCGATAAGTTTGAATTTCAATGTTGCTAGGCTACACAGAGTGGCCCGGGGTCATTTGCCCGGCCGGGCCAAAAAAAAAAAAAAAAAAAAAAAAAAAGTATAATTTCAATGTTTTTTTTTTTAAATGGCCCGATGGACCACGGATCAGATATTAAACTGATCAGAACAGATACTACACTTGATCTTAGCCAAAAGGCCGAGAAAGGTATATATAATTTCATTTTTTATTCTAAATTTGTTGAAGAATTTCGATGCGACCCTGAGGCAAAAGTTGTTCAGTTTATTTTTCTGCATACCATAGTTTTTTTTCAGACTTTTTGGACTTTTTTTGTTTTGTTGGGACCTTACCTGGTCCTTGCACGGGCTGGCCACCCGGGACCCGGGCGGCCCGGCTGGTAGCCTAGCAATGTTGTTATTTGTTTTCTGCATAGCATCATGTTCGCATTCGGAGGTGAACTCGAACATGTTCGCCCGAACGCGAACTGGCACACAAAACCCTCCAAACGCAAACATAAAAAAAATACTAAAGAAAAGAAAAAAATTCAAGAAAAATATGAAAATTTAATACGTCAAGTAAAACAACAATACAAGCAACGTTTTCCTTGGAGTGATGTTATAATTATTAGCCAAACGTGAGTTAAGAATCAAAAACCGAAAAACATATAAATTTTATTTCTTTTTCTCGGAAAAACACTAGGCTACCAGAGTGGCCCCGGGTCACTTGCCCGGCCGCGCCAGAAAAATATATATTGTCACATGATATCAAATCGCCGAAGCAAAAAACGAAAGAAAACAAGGAAAAGCACCAAGCACGCCGCAGGCGTCTGAGGGGTATCGAACCCACAACATCCTGAATGCCACAGCCGTGCGAAATCAACTGAACTATAAATTATTTAGGCCTGGCACCCCCAGCCATTGCAGTCCAGTAGCCCCGAGCCCCCGAAATTATCGTCGGCAATAAAAAAAACGAAATCCTGCAACGCTGGGGCTGTGCACTGGCGGTTCCACCGTACCTCCCCCTACATGGAATAGAACGCAGGTTTGGTCTCGTGATAATATCCTGTCCTACTACCGGTACCTTCTTCCCCCGAATACAACGTACGTTCATTATAGCCGTATTTGGGCTGTCTTTCAGACTAAATACAGCTATAATGACCATACGTTGTATTCGGGGGAAGAAGGTAGTCGGCTGCCTTCTACACAATAGTCATGCTGAGTATTCTATTGTAGACAAGTGTAAGTACGCGCTAAGAGACGAGAAGAAGGCACCAGAAATGAGCCTCAGCAAACACGAAACAAAAAAAAAACGAAGATCAGCTATTGCCAACGACAGAGAGAGAGAGAGAGAACATCCAACATCCTCCACCTTTTCCTCTCCCGATGTAAGTACGTGTTCAAGACAAAAAAAGTGCGAGCATAAGCCAAAGGACGAGAAAAAGGTACCACCAATGAATCACAGAGTTAAAAAAAAAAAAAAAAAAAAAAAAA